CAGTGGAATCTTCCCTAATCCAGCTCTGTGTAAGCCAGGGGTGGGTAATTCATTTTCTAAGGGTGCCATATGAGAAACGGGGACTGTTTTGGAGGGCCAACACATTACTGTGAAGGTGCGTAGGCACACATGCACATATGTAAACTGATAAAAAATCTGATAGGGGTCGACTAATGTAAGGGGGCATTACGATGGATGCCACTAATAATTAGTCCTCCAGAGTGCCCCCTTACATTGGTTGTTACCATCAGAGTGCCCCCCACTTTCATTATTAATCTAGGGGGCACCCTGATAAGGACAACTAATAATTAGTCGTCCACATCTGAACGTGCCTTTACGTTGATTGTCCCCTTCAGAGTGCCCCCTTATTTTCATACTTTATTAGTAGGCCGGGAGGTGGGAGTCGGGAGGTGGAGCAGGCTGCAAGAGAGGGTAGGAGAAGATACTCTTCCATCCTCCTGTAATGCTGGGTGCAAGGAACACATTTGACGTCACTGGTTTTCTAGGACCGCCGGCGTTCCTACCTACCAGTGACTGCAGAGGAGGTGGACGCCTGATGCCACCAGTTGCTAGGAGGCCAGTGGTCCTAGCAACCAACGAGTGAAGAGGGGGGGATTAGCGCTGGGCTATGGCAGTGGATGCACCAGCCACCGGAGGTCGGCAATCGCAGTCTAGACAGAAACGCCACTCGGTTCTTGGACAGGGACAGCCAAAGGGCCGGAGGTAGCACGGGGGGGCCATAAAATGCCCAGGTCTGGGGTAAGCCATGCAGTCAATGCAATGAAGGAGCAGACACTGATGTAAATGTTTTTTGGTTGTTAATCTATATCCTCATTATGTCCCAGGTTACTCCTGCTGGCCTTGTGCCGAAGACTAGCAACCCTCGGCATCGAAAGGTGGATAGTGAAAATCGGGCTTTCAAGGAGCGTTGGGAGATGGATTACTTGTTTGTGAAAACAAAGAATAAGCCTCAGTGCTTGGTATGTTTCCAGATCCTGGCCGTCTGCAAGGAGTACAATGTAAAAAGACACTACGTGTCCCAGCACGAGTTCCAGTTCTCCAAGTATACCGGGGAACTGAGGCTTGCCGTGATCAATGACTTGAAAAGCAAACTGAACAGCCAAGCCCCCTTGTCTGCACCAGCCATAAACACGGAAAAGGCCGCCATAAAGGCCTCCTTCCTGATCTGCGAGGAGATTGTGAAAAGGAAAAAAGCGTTTAGCGACGGCGCCTTTATCAAGGAATGCGCTGTGAAAATGGCTCGCGCTTTCGGTAACGAAGAAATGGCGAAAAGCTTCGAGTCGGTTTCGCTCTCCCACCAGACCGTGGCCCGACGCATCTCCGTCATGGATCAGTACGTCACGCATAAAGTCCACGAGGCCGTCAAGAACTGCACTTACTTCTCCATTGCCGTAGACGAAAACGTGGACCTAACGGGCACCAATCAGCTGATCATCTGCGTCCGCACGGTGGATGAGAACTTTAATACCTCGGAGGAATTGCTGCATCTGACTCCCCTGCAAGGACTCGCACAAGACGCAGACGTTTACGAAGAGATAAAGATCGCCCTGGGAGATTACGGCGGCTTGGAACGGTGCATAAGCATTATGACGGACGGTTGCAAATCTACAACGTTGAAAAACGCCGGGCTCGCCGCGCTGCTTAAGAGAGATGGTTTCGGGTGCTTGCTATTACACTGCATCGTACACGAGGAAGGTTTGGTGGGAACCTTGTTAAAAATGGCGGATGTCATGGAAGTTGTTATAAAGGTAACAAATTTGATCAGAGACAAGAAATGCGGTGTAACCCGCAGGAGGTTTAAGGCGCTCTTGGAGGAACTGGAAGCAGCTAGTTCTGATTTGCCCCAAAACCGGAACCTCCGGTGGTTGAGCGAAGGAAGCTACCTCTGGAAATTCTTCAAGTTCCGAAAGGAAATGTATCTATTTCTGGCCGAGCTGAAATCAGACCCGGTCTTAGAGATGCGCCTTTGTGACACAGACTTCCTGTGCTCTCTGGCCTTCCTAACGGACATCACGCAAAGTTTAAACACCCTCAACAAGAACCTGCAGGAGAGGGAGCAGAACATTAGCCAGCTCTACAAGCATATTTCTGCCTTCAGGAACAAGCTCATGCTCTTAAAACTGAATCTATTAAGGAACGAGCTGATACATTTTAGTTGCTGCAGCGAACTTTTTTACGAGATGAAAGAAAATGGAAACCTTTTACACTTTAACAGGTTTATCCCAAAGATTGAGATCCTGATTGAGAACTTCAGTGCGAGGTTCCAGGAATTTAATGAGCTGAACTCCAGCTTCAGATTGTTCAGTAGTCCCCTCACTGCGGACATTGTTGCTGCAGATGTCCATTATCAAATGGAATTATGTGAAGTACAGGCAGATGTGTTCCTGGCTTCCCGGGCTGAGTCCGGGGTACCCTTCTTTAAGCTTCTTCCTAGAGAAAGGTACCCGAATTTACGGGACTTGGGACTAAAAATTTCCTCGATGTTTGGCAGTACCTATATTTGTGAGAAAGCCTTTTCTGATTTGAATCATATCAAGTCCAAATACAGGAATAATATCTCGAATCGCACACTCCTACAAGCACTGCGTTTGTCCACAACCAATCTTAAGGTGGACGTTGATGAATTGTTGTCACAGCCGACCCATTAAAAGATATTTTGTTTCCATTACACTGACATAGACAGTAACTACAGGCCTTAGGTTTTTTCACTTCGACTCGTCCTGTTTTAGATCTTGTGAACTAGGGATGCACCGATACGGTTTTTCTTTGGTATCGATATTTATTTTTTGGTACTCACCGATACTGGAAGTCCCATTAAGGAAGCCGGCTGCCATGTAATGACTCACAGCCCAGCTTCTTGGATGGCTAGAAAGCCGGCTCTATGCTCCCTCTTCAACAGGTGATGAGGAAGCATGGAGCCGGCTTTCTGGCCAATCAATAAGCCAGGCTGTGAGTCATTACACGGCACCCGGCTTCCTGATTGGCCGGGAAGCCGGCCCCATGTTTCCTCGTCGCCAGGTGACAAGGAAGCATAGAGCCGGCTTTCTAGCCATCCAAGAAGCTGGGCGGCGAGTCATTACACGGCAGCCGGCTTCCTGATTGGCCGGGAAGCCGTCTCCATGCTCCCTTGTCACCAGGTGACGGGGAAGCATGGAGTCGGCTTTCTGGCCAATCAATAAGCCAGGCGGAGAGTCATTACACGGTGCCCAGCTTCCTGATTGGCTGGGAAGCTGGCCCCATGCTTCCTCATCACCAGGTGACGAGGAAGCATGGAGATGGCTTTCTGGCCAATCAAGAACCCGGGCGGCGAGTCATTAGACACGGTGCCCAGCTTCTTGATTGGCCGGGAAGCTGGCCCTGTGCTTCCTCGTCACCAAGTCATGAGGGAGCATGGAACTGGCCAATCAGGAGGCTGGGGGTGGCGAGTCATTGCCTGCCCCCCTACTTCCTGGTTGGCTGGGAAGCCTGCTTCATGCTCCCTGGTGACAAAGGAGGATGGAGCCGGCTTCCCTGCCAATCAGGAGGTCGGGCAGTGTGCAATGACTCGCTGTCCGGCTTCCTGATACTTGAAGTTCCGTTATCTGGAAAGGCATCGGAAGCATTTGGGCGAGTACTCGCCTACTCGGCATCGGTACTGATACCAGTATCGGTATCAGTGCATCCCTATTGTGAACAGTGTTGAAACTATAGTAGAAGAAAATACAAAAAGTTAGGCTTAGACCAAAAGGCAAACTACTTCACCTTTTCATACATTTATTTATTACATTCTTTATACTTTTGTAAATATTTTAGTGTATAGTTCATTAGCAAATAAAAAAGTATTACTTGCTTTGTATATTTTGGGTCCAATGGAAAATCCCTCCTTGTTGTAAACATTTCCTGTCTGTGCACATGGTTTGCTATGCTTGTCCTAGCAATAGAGCTTGATTCTGTATTCCCTGTAAGTGTTTGTGGTTTTTCAAAACATGCAAATGGATGTCATTCACCTCTGTGCTGAACCAAGGATGCGCACACAGTGCAGGTTGGTGCTGCAATGTATTTTGTCGGCTCCGTAGAGATGCACTGAAGCCAAAACCTTTTTTTAGATGTGGATGGAGTGGCGCGGGGAGAGATTAGAACACCTGTCAGGTTTGTATTGTGGTCTTTGTCCCCATTAGGGAGATTCATCCTCTATTTTTCCTTGTGACTGTAAGAAAGTGAAAACAAATCCCAGATTTTGGGTTGCCATCAGAACAGGAATAGAGGGGGAATCTTCCAATGGGGACACTATTCTGGTAAACCCTGTGGGCCTCCAGGGATTTCCCCTCACTTCCAGATTAAATGCACAACATGCCGGACACAACAAAGCAACCCTAAAACAAAACCGAGCCTCCTCCATGTTTCACAGTAGGTACAGCGTTCTTTTCTTTGAAAGCTTTTTTTTTTCATCTGTAAAACATAGATGTGACTTGCAGTAAAGCTCCAGTGTTGTATCGTCTGTCCAGAGCATTGTGACATCATTATGTATTTTAGCAAATTCCTGTCTGGCTTTTTTCTGTTATTTTTTATAACAATTGGATCCTCCTGGGTCTTCTTCCTTGGAGCCCACTGTCACTCAAAAATTGATGAATGGGGAGATCAGACACTGGTGTAGTTTGACCTTGGAGTTCAGCTTGTATCTTTTTGGAAGTTTTCCTTGGCTCTTTGTCTACCCTTCACACTATCATTCTGTTCAATTTGGGGTTGGTTTTACAATTGCCCCCATGTCCGTATTACCATAAATAATTCTTTCCTATGCTCCCTTGCTCCTTCTAGTGGCCACAATGTGGTATTTTCCTAAAATATGGAAAATGTGGTTTCTCTCCCGTTCATTGAAGGACACAGGGAACAGATCGGAGATCATGTACTTGGCACAAGAAGTGTGGCCGTGGCTCGGGAAGTGGAAGGAATTCTATCTTGGGCGGAGGTGCATGTTCCGGCTCTCTCCGCCGTGTACATTCCGGGCGTGGACAATTGGCAGGCCGGCTATCTCAGTCGCCAGTCAGTGGACCCGGGGGAATGGATGCTACATCCGGAGGTGTTTCACCAGCTCTGTCTTCGCTGGGGGTTCCCGGACGTGGATCTCCTGGCGTCTCGCCTCAATCGGCGGGTAGAGCGGTTCGTGGCCCGGACCCAGGATCCTTGGGCGCTTCCGATCTGTTCCCTGTGTCCTTCAATGAACGGAGAGAAAAGGATTTTACGGTGAGTACCAAAATCCTATTTTTATAATATATCCCTGCGGCACAGGCCTGGAGATGACTATAGCCTATTCATCTTCCTTTTTGTATATGTATAACAATAAAGTATTTGTTATTACATACAGACGTCTCTGGTGACTAATATTCTTTAGGATTTGAACAGAGAATTGGTGATGGAAGCTTCGGCATATCACACTTTTAGAACACACAGAACAATTGAATTCCCTTCTGGAATAACAGAACTGAAACTAAAAAGCACCATTTTTAAATGCAAAGTCCACCTTTTAGATGAAAAATAAATGCACACATGTGCAGAAAAGAAAAAAAAATTTGCATTGGAGGCAGTAAAGCATTGCAACCACAAACACTGGATTGTGGGTGAAAAGCTCTGGCTCCTGCAGACTCTTCCTCTTGTTCATGTCCATACGTTGGTATGGATATTCAGTAACATGGGCAGGAGGAAGAATGAATGGACTACAAGTGGGGTGACATCACCGCACTTATATTCCTTTGAGAACTACGAGTCCCTCTGCCACAGTGTCCGATGTGACTTGTTTCTCCATTTTAAAGATCCTGTCATAGAATCTGTGAATGAATGATGCAGCTGTGTGCAGCCCAAAAAACACTAGCCTACGAGGAGGAGAACAACCCTGCGTTACAGGTAAGTTGGGGGTCTGCTATGTCACTAAGTCTCCTGTTACACTCTGAATTTGGGTGTTACACAAAACATAGTCAGAAAGGGCCTTCCAGGTCAGGTTCACACCATTTTTCGGACCAGATCTGGAACGCAGTGCATTGCATTTTGCCGGGATTTTACAGCGATTTTTCCGCATTCCGGAGCTGGTTTTTTTTTTTTAGTTTAAAATGGGCTTTCAGGTGCATTCCCGTGCGTTTGTATGCGTTTTTATGCGTTCCAGCGCATTCCAGACCAGGCAAAATGAGACATGCAGTATTTTTCTGGTCTGGTCTGGAACAGACTGCGCTGGTGTGAACAGAGCACATAAATAGCATAGGGATACATTAGGATGCATTTTAGGTCTGGAAACAATCTGGTCTGGTCTGGAAAGGATCTTGGTGGTGGTGTGAATGGGCCCTCAAGGAGCTGTTAAAAAGCTGACCGAAAGAAATCACTTTCATTTCATTTTTTTGCGTCATCTATACTGTATGTGGGGCATCAACTTTAAGGTATTATTTCAAGCTGGGGTTGGGTAATGGGTGCTCCTGGTAAGGAATCAGGATTATACGGGTAGGCATGTTATCATGTACTTGCTTTCAACATTTACAGGTCTATGTTGTCAAGATCCTGCATCACATATATATTTGCGTGTAAACAAAACAAAAAACTACATACATTTTAAGGTATATTTCAGTGTTTGGGTTGGGTAAAGGATGCTGCTTGATTGGTCATGGCAGAGAGTCAGGCATTATTCACCCAAAACGAATGTTTACAGATATTTGCAGGTCGATGGGCCTGAGAATTGTTTATGAATAGACCCCTAATTGTCTTTTTTTTTTTCCAACTGTGGTATTGTGTGGCAATCCCACGGTAGAACTGGGGGTTGCAGTCACCCAGGACTCTCAGCCAGAGGGGCTGAGCAGTTCCAGGAGGCAAGTTCCTATACTGGGAAAGAGCTGATTTTTTGGTTCTTCCCAGGATTTCTGGATTTGGCATGGGATCCTGGAACTGGGAGATTTCTAAGGCTGGGCACACACCTTACAACCATCGCAAGACTTTTGTTTTGTGATGGTTGTAAGGTACTTAAAAAAACGTAGGCAGATCGTACTTGCGATGATCGCAAGCCACGCCCCCCGAGGGGCGGGCTTTCCGATGACCGCAAAGCCGAACGGGCAGAGTGCGCTTGCGCACCCTGGCCCGTCCGGCTTTTATCTTACGAACATGCTACACACCCGCCGAACATCGTACGATGCTCGGCGGGTTTTGAAACATGTTCATAAGTTTAAAGTTGTGCAACTATTACAGTAGTAGAGGTCGCACGGCTTCCACACACCTTATGATAATCGTACGATCGCGGGATTTCTCTTAAGAGAATTGGGAGGGATGAAATCTCCAGTCCTGGGTCGATTGTTTAGTAGTGACCAGCACCTGATTGCACACATGTGCACAGCACTTATGGGAAGGTGCTGGCTAATGTTCTGGGCTACAGCTGGGAAGAGGAACAGAGGTAGTCAGTAGGGATGGGCTGCATGTTCGAGTCGCACATAGGTTCGACTCGAACATAGCCTGTTCTAGCGTTCGCTGAACGCCGAACATTACGGCGTCTGTTCGACCGCGGAACATCCCACAATGCTCTGCGCCAACCGTGTTTCATTTTCGAGCCGAGTACAGCAGAGGACGCCGCGGGATCGCAGGGACAAGGTGAGTGTCACTTTTCTGTTCAGCCCCGAGTCTGGCTCCGGGTTATCGCTCCTAGCATTGAAAATTCACCCCGAGCCAGACTCGGGATTACCACCAGGGAGGTTAAAATTGTTTTTTTCATTGATACCTGTCCCCAAGGGCAGTACCCGGATCCCCATACACTTTTTATGGCCAATAAATTGCATATAAGGCTTCAAAATGGGGACATTTAATTTTCTGAGTTCTACCCCCATAGACTTGCATTGAGTTCTAAGTTCGAATTAGAACTTTTTCCATGTTCGAAAGTTCGAATTAGAACCGAACACGGGGGTGTTCGGCTCATCCCTAGTAGTCAGGAGGACTCCACCCAGAAGTGAGGGGGGAGCCAGGTGGCTGTGTGTGCTAGAGGCACAGGGTAGACCGCAAAGGAGGCTGAGAGAGCCATTTACACATGGAGTATGTGCGGCAAGCTTTGGTCTTGAGACAGTGTCTACTTGCTGAAACATTAGCAGACTATATGCTGTGTTGATGAAAGAAATAAAAGACTGTCCTGTTTATGTTTAAAACGGCTTCAAGACTGTTCCTTAAGCGCTCACCATATGTTCTAAGTTCCCCAAACATCACACAACATAATAAAGAGACTAGTTTTAGGCCTGAAATCTGGTTTACAGATGTTGTACCCCTAGAACGGTGGAAACCTAACTTGTGCTAAAATATAGAAAGCTGACATCCATTTTCTATCTGCAGACAAGTAGCTCTGTACACCTTTTAAAATGTATTAGTGACATCCAGAAAATATAAAGGTTAGAGAATGTATGTCATCTTTTTTTTTTCAGTTTAGGAGTTTTCATTATATTTTTAAAGGATAATAATGAAACTCATCAGGTCAACAGGGTCACAGGCAGCAATAAAACATGTTTTAGTAGAGTGGAAATCGGTTGGAACCTCTGTCAGTGTTTCATTGTTGTGTCTGTATGAGTGATATTTTATCTCTCTTTCTGTCCAGATGAGAAGTGTGAGAAAGAACAGAAAGTGATGGGAATCTCTGCAAACGTGGCATAAGCAGCATCTTAAACCTGATGCAGGTTCTGCCCCTTCTGTTCTGTATAGTTTGGACTAAATGCCTCTTCTACTATTTGAAGCTGAAATCCAGGCAGCTATAAAAATTAGGGATGCACCAATACCGGTTTTTCGGTATCAAGTACAAGTACCGATATTATATTTTTTACGGTACTCGCCAATACCGAAAACTGATACCAGAAGTCCCATTAAGGAAGCTAGGCGGCGTGTAATGACTTTCTACCTGGCTGCCTGATTAGCCGGGAAGCTGGGCGGCGTGTAAAGACTCGCCACCCTGCTTCCCGATTAGCAGTGAAGCCTTCTCCATGCTTCTCGTCACTAGGTGCATGGAGCTGGCTTTCTGTCAGCTTCCCGGCCAAGCAATGGTGGTCTATGTTGCTCTTATGACTGGTCACCTTTGTAGTGTATGCAAAGCCAAAACCTTTTTTTTTCTGTTTTGGATGGAGCGGGGAAGCATTAGAAATCCTCTCTGGTGTTTACTGCTATCTGAGGATCCATTAGAGAGAATGACCTTCACTTTCTGTCCTGCTGACGTTTTACCAGACTGGAAGTGAGGGGAACTTTCAGCAACACAGACACAAAATGTTTTTTCTTTAGTAGAGTAGGGGAAGGCTGGAACCCTGTGTCAGATTTATTTCTGTCTGTGGGACTATTTGAGATTCTTCCTTCGTATCTGGTAGAACATTTATCATCAGAAGAAGGGTTAAATCTCTCTAACAGAGTCCCGGATAGCAGTAAAAACCCAACATGAAGTTTAAACCTTCCCCAATCTATCCAGAACTAGAAAAACAGGGTTTGCCTTGACATGCACTTGAATGGTGAGAGTCTCCTGATGTATCCCTTGCCCATGAAACTGGAGTCCGTAACCTGCTGTGTCTTTCAGTCACCAGGTTTTGTGCATCTGAAAATATGGAGACCCACCGGCCATGGCAATGTCAGGAATTTATTATACATTTGTTGTCTGATGGTATGCAGCATTTCTGTCTTTCTTCTGTTGGGCGCTTGTGACAAGTACAAGGAATGTTATTAGGTTAAGAAGCGTCACACTTTATTTACAAAAGAGAAGAGATAATACAGAGCAGTCCACAGAGAGAAAAAGGTGGCCCGAAGGGATAGACAGGACAACTATTTTGTGGGGTACTCAGTGTAGCCAGCTTCCTGCAGGATCGGGGATGGTAAAAGGTAGGTGGAGAAGGGCTGCTCTCCGACATGTCCAGGTCTTGGTTTTGGAGCATTTTACTTCCAGCGGCCCCCAACTTTTCCTTTGCCTCCTGCTTTCTTGCTGCTGTTATGGGGAATAAAAAGACACAGGTCAGCGGGCAGGACGCATACACAAGAAGAAGAGGAAAATGCCAGATAGAGAAAACCTGGTGTTATGAAAATTTGATAAAGAGGAACTGAACTATGGAAGCCCAAAAAAGGCAGGTAGAGGGCAAAGGACTGGTCAACAGCATTTACTGTGGTCTACCTGTAGTTGGTCTTTCCTCATTACTGTCTTACCATGCCTTGTTCTGCACTGTGTCTCTGTATCGAGACAGCCAGCTTGTAGAGACAGGGTATTGCTTCCTCATGTCAGAGCCTCCAGCAAGGAGAACATTGAGCAGTACACTAATGAAATATACAGTAGTACTATATGTAGTTCCTAGGCACCCTCACATTACACTAGAAAGTGCCATTTTTCAGGAGGAATTCCAAACAAAGGGTACTTTTTCAGGGCAGTGCTCAGTCGCTGTGTTAACATTTCTAAATATTCTCTATATTGCAAATCTTTTTTTAGTTCAGTTCCACTTTAACTCAATATAGAAGACAGATGATGGTTAAGGAGGTCAGAAAACAATATATAGCAAAGAAAAAAAAAATACTATTGCTATTGCAAACCGATAAACCAAGACACAAGTTGGCTTATGTAAGAAAGCTAATGATACCATTTTCAGCTGTATGTCAGAAAGTTCCAGATATCAGAAGTCTTAATGTTTGTAATTCTAGTCATTGTAGGAGAGATTTAGCATGAACAGCTGATTTCCTGGTTGGTAAGCTCATTGAAAAATAATGTAGTGAGCTACTCTCCAGGCTATGCACCTGGCTGGATGGTACATGTTAATATAGCATGACCTTTTTACCAGGTATGGAAGTAGCCAGAAACATAATCACTAGCTTCCTTATGTGAGCAACTTGCTAGGCTTAACAGTCCTGCAAGGACAAGCAGTATCACTTACCATGTTGCCATGTTAGTTTGGGAGAGACTGGACATTTTCTCCCACATGCTGTACTTCCCTTCAGATTGTCATGCATGCATGTCTCAAACACAGACTGCTACTGTTCTGCCATCACAGTTATAAAGGAGTCATAAAGGCCAACATCAGGATCGGGGGGAAAACCACCGTTACTGAAGTATAATGGGGCTGTGAAGAGGCCCAGGCCTTGTATGTGCTGACAGAACTGCAGTGTGCTCCTCATAGACATATACTGTACCTGACACACCAGGGTCAGCAGGGAGTTAGTTTACTTACTTGTTATTGCTCAGGGTTAGACTGGAGATATCATGGTAGGCCAGAGATATCAAGTGGCGTAGTGGTGTCCTGTTTGGCCTGTGATATCTCTCAAGACCACTGATATCTACTGTACTTGTGTGGGCATGTACAATCTCATAGCTAAGTAGGTCAGTCATCAAGCCTAGGTAAGACTTGCCACAAGTGTACGGGTCACCCATTTATACTGAAGTCCGTCATATTAAGAGCTGAACAGGTAGTCTTTCCCCTGTGATCTCTGAATGGATAGTCAAACCTCTGCTGTGTATTGGTGACCAGTACACTTGATGCTAGGTTGTGCTGAGCGTATTTGTTAGCTGATACTTGCAAGGCATCATAGGTCCAAGTTATGCAGTTATATTGTATAAAACTGTTACTAGTGGAACATTAGGTAATTGTCTCAATGCTTTGAAGTGTGTAAATTGGGTTAGCAGAAAAGGGGACTGAGTAGAACTGGTATGTATTTAAACATTTTCCTTATGATAGCATAAAGTACACACTGGTCAGGTAGCCATTTTGTAAGATAAAGCAATATTTGTGAGAATGCAGGAAATCAGGTAGTTAAGAACCAGTGTCACAAAATGGTTGATTCAAGTCACAAAATGGCTGCCTCTACCAAAAGTGCAGCTGTCCCGGGTTTATCAATCTGTTAATTGAAATTGAACAAATATGAAGGGCAGATGTATCTGTCAGCTAGACAAGGTTAGTCATTGTGAGCTTGGTTGTTTGGGAAAAATTGTATTTTTTAGAGAAAAAATACACATGTCCACTCTTCCCAGAATCCATGCAAGGTTGATTTTAAAAGGGATACTTGTGTTCTAATAAAAAAATGTAATCGGTAAGTTAGAAAGTAATTGAATATAGAAATATTCTGAGCCTCAGATATTTCAGTTGATGTTCGGGGATAATGCGCAGGCTGTGATTGGGATAAGGTTGACGTATCTAGCACTACTTACTGTTTCTGCAGCTGATCGATACGGTTCCTGAGGGTAGTAACCTGTTAAAACAACATACAACCCATTTGTACTGGAGAGTCCTTCACGTTTCCTTACCTCCAACACCTGATACTTTGTCAGAGGTTCCGCAGGCTGTTTGTTGGAATGCGGTTACCTGGCACCCTCTCACCAGGGTAGAGATCCATATAAGTAAGATAATAGTGGCAGAGTGTCTAGTGACCCGTGCACACACAAATACCTAGGCATGTGCCCAGACACACAGCTACTTACCTTTACTAAACACCCAGGCTGGAACCTGGAGCAAAGGCACCTACCCTAATTATAACCAAACAAATGTTGGATCACAGGACATCAGGTCTACAAGTTTGTCCAATCAAGAAATGTTTAGCTCACCCTTGCTTTGTACTTAATGTGATATATGTGTCAGTTGAGTTGTGTTGATACTCATTTAGATTATTTTTTTTGTTTTATTTAAAATAAGAACCCCATTGACTGGGTAGAGAAATGTCGACTAGTACACCATGGTTTTACTTTGCGCTTTACAAAACGTGCATTGAACAGCTAATTCTGTTATCTGCCATAATAGAAATAGATCTTTGAACGGTTGCATATCTTAACAATAAGCCATGTGTGTTTAACATTGTTATTCTGAATATCTGCCAATCAATATTTAAACTTCTCATGATTCACAATGAACATGAGATTTAACCTCATCCTTTTAGTACAATATCATTATATTATACATAAGAATGTAAGAGCTCTTACTGCAAATGTGTCCAACTACAGACACGGCACTATGCCACATAACAAAATGTCTTGGAGTTAGCATTCTGCTACTTGGAGCAACCTTCTTTTTTTACTCAGACTAAAGTGAGCAAATTTGTGCTAGAGTATTTTTTTTTCTGGTCATTAATTGTATTGCAAAAGAAAATGAAACCGCTCTTCAAACACATGGAACCTCTTTGTAGCCCTGATGTCCTGATTTGACATATTCATAAACCTTCATTGAGCCATTGCTTCAGCCCCAAGCCCGGTCGTACTTGGTCCTACCATGACACATGCCTGAACAGACATTTCAGTCGAGTTAGCCCCTACTGTAAGAGGCTTCTCTACTTACAACTTAGAGAGTTCCTCTACTCTCCTGTGCAGGGTCGTAATCTAAGAAAAACCAAGATAATCATGTGAATAGGAGATACTGGAAGCAAGTGCCTGGTAGGATAATGTGTTCTGGCTCCATCTATATTGCTTCATATTTATATATTGCTTCTAAGCATAGATGGCAGAGCAGCAGATAGTGCTGTCCCCTCTACTTTGACTCTATTTATCACCATAGATAGATAACTGCTACACATATAATGGGCTTTTTTCCATCTCTAATATTTTAAATGAACAGTATAGGTGGCAGCCATTAAACACCTTCTAATTAACCAATCGGTGGCAGCCATTAAACACCTAATTAACCAATCGGTGGCAGCCACTAAACACCTTCTAATTAACCAATCGGTGGCAGCCATTAAACACCTAATTAACCAATCGGTGGCAGCCACTAAACACCTTCTAATTAACCAATCGGTGGCAGCCATTAAACACCTAATTAACCAATCGGTGGCAGCCACTAAACACCTTCTAATTAACCAATCGGTGGCAGCCACTAAAACATCTTCTAATTAACCAATAAGTGCCAGCCACTAAAACATCTTCTAATTAACCAATAGGTGCCAGCCACTAAACACCTTCTAATTAACCAGTAGGTGGTAGCCACTAAACACATTCTAATTAACCAATAAGTGCCAGCCATTAAACACCTAATCAACCAATAGGTGGGAGACATTAAACACCTTCTAATTAACCAATAGGTGGCAGCCACTAAACACCTTCTAACTAACCAATAGGTGGCAGCCATTGAACACCTTCTAATTAACCTATAGGTGATAGCCACTAAACACCTTCTAATTAACCAATAAGTGCCAGCCATTAAACACCTTCTAATTAACCAATAATTGGCAGCCACTAAACCTCTTCTAAATTACCATTTCATTAATGGTCTAAAATGGGTCTCCCTGTAAATTATTCATGTCAAAGTCAGCAAGTTAGGACAGAATATGTTTATGGGGCTTAGTAAACATTTCTAATATAACATAATACGGTATAACATTTATATAACATTAAAATCGCATGATGGGGAAGTTTAAGCAACAATTACGAACACATTTAAAAAGCGTCCTTGCTACAATTGTATGGGCTTCTGTATGGACCTGGGGATGGGATGTGAACAATGCAGGAGCCTGTGAATTGTTTCTGCCAGGGGCTTCCCAAGACTTTTTACCGCCTGAGGTTGTAGGGTGGGTGCGGCGTCCCACAGAGCTAATGGCAACCAGCGAAGTCACTGGTTGCCAGGAGCTTGGTGGAATGCTGCCAAGAGTGTCCCAGGTTGCTAAGTGCTGGGCGGACAGATGTATATGGCCCTTGCACATCTCCCCGCCTAGCTCTTAGCAACCTGAGAAGCTGCAAACATTGTACAGCAGAGCAGCGATGCCACTTTGCCTGCCCTTCCCCCAGGAGACGCCAAGGCCTCAGGCTGACTAATTATAGGAACAGTCCTGTTCCCGGCGATACACTAATCGCAGTGGCAATGATCTGCAAGCTTCAATGTAATCATTTTATAAATTTGCTTTTTTTATTTTATTAACATGGGTGCATTTGTTAAATGTTTGTAAAAAGTGGACAATGCCTTTAAGTTTTACTTTAATTTAACACAGACATTTAGAGCAAAATACTAAATGCACGACCTGTGACACAAGTGGAACACTATAAAATATTTGCATATAAGATACATATAACTTGATTATATAGCAGAATTCTGCTATATACACTGATGAACACTTTATATTTTGACTGCTGTGAAGAAAAGCTGCCATATACACATGGACAAAATCTGCATTTATAATATATAAGCAGTAGTTAATAACAAGCTTATCTACACTGGAGTCTTTTTTAATATTAACTGCTTAAAGGTAAAGTATAATACTCTCCATCTTATATATGTGTGTAAATAATGTTATAAGGATGTGTTAATGATTTCAGAGCCTGGTTTCTATGTGTAGTCAACATTCAGAAATATAAGTGTAACATTTGCTTGTTGTATATGCAAGCTCTGCTTTGCTGTGCCACACAGTGGTTGTGCTTTAGCCCTCATTCACACGGGTAACGGCCGGCCCGTACAGATCCATGCTGCGTGCATGGCTGTATCTGGCAGCTCCCGAGAAGGACAGGTGCTGCGTGTGATTACACACAGCAGCCTGTACTTCTCTATGGGAATACGCGGCCGTACACTGCCCTACGCTCATCCGACCTGCACGTCCGTGCGGGTGTCCGTACTCGTACACTGACCAGATGGATCCTGTCTGCGTCTGAGCAGGGACACCCGCACCTGTACGCACTTGCAGGTCGGGTGAGCGTAGGGCGGTATACGGCCACGTGCTCCCATAGAGAAGGACAGGCTGCTCCATACAAATCACACGCAGCACCTGTCCTTCCCGGGAGCTGCCCGATAAGGTCGAGCATGCCGCACAGATCTGTACGGGACGGCCGTTACCCGTGTGAATGAACGCTTACTGCTCTTTCTCACCCTGAAAGTCTGTAAGTCGGCTGACCTAATAAAAAACAAAAAAAATACACATCTGTATAGTTTTGTATCTTATCTGAGTCGTTTTCAGACATTTCAACTCTCCCGATCATTCCGGGAGTCTCCTTCATGCCTGCTAGAGAAACATTTTATCCTGGAAAGGTTTACTCTGCTCCATCTAGCATAGTAAACCTTTCTCTGCTATCTGGTTTTTTTTTTTTGGTTTTCTTTTTGACAGTGGGGCCGCCAACCTCCGTCAGAGTAAAAAAAATAAATAAAATAAAACTCAACAGACTGCATGGGGATGAATTGCTAGGCTGTTATTGGCTATTTCAGTTTGCAATAGCCAATAGCAGGCTGGCTATTGCACCCTCGCGCTGCTGCTGTCAATCAGCAGAGAGGACCTGAAGGAGAACTTCAGGTCTACGTCTGCTGATTGACAGCATGCAGTCTGTTGGGTTTTTCTTTTATTATTCTGACAGCAGAAGCTACAACAAAAACAGCAGATAGCAAGGGAAGCATTAGCTCCCCTGCTATCTGCCATAATTTCAGGGAGGTGCCCTCTCTCCCATCCCTGCCCGTTTGTTGGAATCAACAAACATAGGGCCCATTTTTAAACCTAGGAGATACCGAAAAATGGGCATTACAATTTTTTTTCCAATGTGCATATATTTTTTCTAAAGTATGTATTATTTTTAACACACAATGGCGTGTTTTCAACTATTTTGTGAATAGCAACAGCAAAATTGTTTATTTGTAGCAAAATTAAGAAATTGTCCATTTTTTTTTACTAAGATGGGGGTTGATTTACTAAATGCAAATTGGCTGTTCACCTTGCAAGGGGATTTTCTCTTAGCTTGGTGAATGTGAAAATCCACTTAGCAAAGGATACCCAATCACATGCAAGGAAAATATAAAAAATACCGGAGGTTTACTTGCACATGATTCAGTAAGCTAAGGGAAAATTTAACAGCCTGTTTGACTTTAGTAAATGAATCCCAATATTTTTAAACTAATGTGGAATGATTGGGTTGCAGGGGGAAAACCTGCTTGGGTAAAGCTTATATTGGAAATTATATAGTATGGATAGTTGTCTTGTATACTAAAATCCTCAAATGATGAAACGATCCTCCAGTGACTTGTGCCCTTCGATCTCTAATAATCAGTGGACTTGGCCACTGATAGATTAATATTACCATAACCTAATCCTTTTAAACAGTTATGTCCAGAAGTAAACTCCGTCTGGGGCAGTCCTACTTTCATCCATCTACTTTAGACCTCATTTTTGTGTGTAGCGGACTCACCTCATATTTCTGTTTCTTGAGCTGTTCTCCCATCTCAAACTTCTCGGACTCCAGCTGGTACAGCCAGTCCCACATCTCCTTAGCCTTGTCCCTATTAAAGAGAAGCCCACAGGGCAGGTGAGTACATGTGCGGAACTGGTACACATCCAAGCAAAAATGAGTGTTTAATCCAGGCAAAGATACTATTTTAGTTTAAGATCGGTGGAATTACTGCCTTCGTGAACCTCTTGCAGACTACTATAGAGATCTTCCAACCAGAGTATCCAGGTCTGCACCAGGTTATTATAAAGTCCAAATGATAAATGTATGAAGGATCAAACAGAGTGAGACCCCTCCCCCCCACCATGGGTGGATTTCAACGCTCAGGTGTAGAAGTCCTTCACTGGACTTCTGAGGTGACAAAAGAAGCTGGATGGTGACCTACTGGCATCTACCCAATAGTGAAATATCAGCAATGGGTGAAAGAACCCTTTAAGGCTGAACTCCAGAGAGATATAAAAGAAACATTTTATTGCATCTCTATGTTCATTAACACATCATTAAATGTGTTTGTTTAAATGGAAGCAATGTAAGTACTTGAATTTGACTCGCATTAGCCTCTTGCATTTACAGCAGAACGAGAGAAGTAGGGATAGCACAAGGAACCAATAAGTTGCTGTTTGCCTGAGGTCCAGCTTTCATTGACAACCCAAAGCCACTAAAACCGCAATAATTACCTGAGTTTGTCCTCACTCATGTGGTCAACATTCAGGGCCTTGCGACGATCTGCCAGAATCTTCTTTTTCTGCTCACGGGCTGTCTGCTTCTTGCCTCTCTTCTGGTCAGCCTGCAGAGGAACCATTACCAAGTCAGTGAAATTCAACATTTCTTTAGCTGGTACACCAAACATAGTGTTTTGTTCATGAAGAATTAAAGTGGGACTACTTAATAAAGTGCACTGAACCAGCAGATTCTGGTCCCAGTGAAAAGTACCAATCCATACATTGTCCATATTTACAGCAAGCAAAAAAATATGTTCAGAGATCAGAGCCTTTCACTAATCATCATACTACAGAGATTGGTATGTATTGTGATCCATAGTAACCAGTTCTTATTAGCTTGAGCCTAGGAAAAGATGACTTTACAATGACTGCTGGGGGAGACTTGCTTGTCTACATGCAACATATCAGCCTACATCCCACAATGGTAAAAGGCAGATGCATCATGGGATTTGTAGTTGCACCACAGCTGGAGTGCTGAGGTTGCCTACCACTGTACTAAAGCGTAAAGTCAATATTGGCCTCCTTTATTACAGTGTGAAGTGAAACTAAGTGAAACTGGGCCTCATTTACCAAAATGCCTTCAAAAATCCAATAAACCACGGGGAATTTAGGAAATACAGGGGTTCTCTTTCAGATAACTTGATGTGTGAAATAAATACTAGCGTTAAATGTCCATTTAGGCACATTCTGTGCAGGTAGGTATTTACTTTTTGCTGGTAGAGAAGGGATTGGTCAAAGTAGGAACAAGTTGATGCAGTTTACCAGCTTGAACCTGTATTGCAACAGATATTATCCTTCTGCAATATATGCTACATGATAATCTTTGTTTTTGGATAATTGAAAGCAGTGGAATAAACACAGATTTACACTTTTGTTATCAAGCCCTAATATCTTGCTTTGACTTTACATGGTGGACTTGCTTACTTTGGCCAGGTAGCTGCTGTATGTGGCTCCCATGGAGGACAGAGCCTTCTTCTTCTTCATGTCATCCTCAGCACGTCTCATGGCATCCTGTTCCTCCCTTCTTATCTTCTCCTCCTGTAGCAGCATCATAAGAATGAATTAGGATACAAGTCATGTATCAAGACTTCTATATTTTTTATTGATGTACACAACAGTTATGATTTTAATCTTTATATATACATGTAATAATAATAATACTACTTATTAGTAGTCTTTATTTTATAAAGTACCAACATGTTATGTAGAATGACATACATGCAATGCACAGCAAAGGTGCTTACAGATACTAGATGATGGCCAGACTTGCATGCATGATTTGGCCTCTGAGCAACTATTCTTATGAGCGCACCACTTGAAGAGGTGGGAATATGGTACACATCAGAAATAATATTGTGATTGTGCGTTTCTGAGAATACTCACAGCAAGTCTGGTCTGACGTTCCTTCTCTTTCTCTGCTCTGATCCTCTGTTGTTCAGATCTCTCAGTCCTACGTTTCTCCTGAGAACCATAAGAAAATGGGGAGATCAGAAACACATATACCAGACACAGAAAACTTACATACATATATACACAGATACATATATACAGGAAATAACAATCATAGGCATTAGGTACAATACCCAAAGTTAAAACACCCGAAAAAGGTTCGTTTTTGGGGTTTTTCTTTTTTAAGTGACAGTTATTTTCAGATGATTTCACTGACATTTGAAAATTACAGTCATATTTCTTGTGTTAAAGAAGAACTCAAGGAAATTTAAAAAAAAAAAAATCTGCAAAAAATAAGTTAAGATATATGAGGTGTATGCTACTTTAAGTTTTACTGTAATTTCTTTAATATTTTACATAATATTATGTGTAATATACTTCCGGCACTGCAACTATGAGAGCTGCAGCTCTCATACACAGAAGCCTCTCATAGTCGTGAGCAGCCCATTGCATTAGGGTGTGCACACAAAAGTACAAACACACAGTAAAGGTGCAGTAATGAACCAGGGAGCCTGGCAGGTTGTCATGTGACCACCCGCTCGGCTTCCTGATTGGATGGTAAGCCACAGCCATGCTCCCTCGCAGCTACCCAGGCACTAAGGACCGCAGCTGTTATGTGAGGAGTGTAAGTGGCAAGTGCTGCTGCACTCTGTATCCCTGAGCCGGTCACAGAGAGATCTTTGTGATCTCTCCACTGGCCCAGTGACTAAAAACATGTCGCCCACTGTTGCAGTTTCGGTGTGGCGCTCAAGGTGATAAGTGTGTGTCCAAGCACACCCCCTGCGCATGCCTATGAAGCCGCCCATTCTCTTAACTTAGCACATTCACAGAACGCTTTGTATTATGTGAATAGGGACACATAACAAACTCGCGTTTTCTCAAATTTGACTGCAACGGTAGAAATGCACTTGAAAGCTTTGTGAATCATTCCAGTTATAGAAACATTATCTATGGAAGCTCTGCCATCTTGTGGACAAATTAGAGTATACACATGTTGCATTAACTCACGCAAGGCACATGCTAAACCAGCGGTAGGCAACCTCACCACTCCAGCAGTTTTGAAACTACAAATTCTATTATGCCTCTGCCTCTGGGAATTATGTCCATGGTTGTCAGAGTGTTGCAATGCCATTTAGGATTTGTAATTTCACAGCAGCAGGAGTGCTGAGGTTGCCTACCCCTGGCCTTGACTAATGCTGGACTAACTCCAACGTTACATAGTGATTAAAAGGATTAAGGCCTATCATATGTGGCAGCATTGCCAGAAGTTCAGTCATAACTGTGTAACTTACAATTCTGTCCTTCAGTCCAATAATCTCTTCCTCTTCCTTCTTGCGAGCCTCAAAATGTTGATCAATCAGTGACTGCAACTCAATCAAGTCCTTGTTCTGTCTTTTCTTCTGGATATCCTACAGATCAAAAAAGCAGTAAAAGCAAAAAGTTAGAATAATATGAACACATCACTGTGTTCCCCACTCAGAACATAAAAAACCCAGTTTGGCCGACCTCTGGGATCAGTAGCTTATATTCTGCTGCTTTCTTTTATCTGTGTAAGATGGACTGCTCCATCCAATTTACATAGATTTTGTTTCTCAAATAACGGTTTGCCAATTCCAAAGCACTGACAATCTGCTTTTTAGTACTCTCTCTCTCTTAGTTTCTTAGTGTACTTACATCAAAGTCTACTTTATCTCCATCTGGGATTTTTGGTGCTGTGAGTCTGCAACACAAATACACAGCATTAGATGTTGATAGCTCTATAAGAACAGTGCACAACAGTGCAAGAGTAGGTGACCGTTAGATAAGCTTGGGGCTAGCAGTTGAGCTGAGGTGTCAGGGTGCATATCTACCCAAAGCTGAGGCCCCATTCACACTGAGCGATTCGCAAAACACGTGTTTGTCGCGCGATTTGCATTTTGCGCGATATCGCGCCGTTTGTCGCGCGATATGGCGCAAATGGTTGCATTGAGCAAACTAGAATCGTGGCAAAATCTGCTCCAAAAAGGGTCCTGCTGTAGTGACGCACGACCCGCGACAGCGACGGACAGAGCCCCATTGCCATGCATTGGAGAGCGATACCGCCCAATAAATCGCTCAGTGTGAATGGGGCCTTAAAGTGACAGTCAAAGCTAGGTGACTAGTACAGGTCAAACTGGCCTATTTAATAAAGTTCTGATATTCACAGTGCTTTAAATCATTGCAACCTATTAGAATTATTGTTTACCATTTTGACTACTGCAGTATGAAATTTGATTGGCTGCTATGTGTTTCTCCCGATGCTGGCGACGTACACTGTACGTCGTCAGTCACGAAGGGGTTAAACATCAATATTGCTCTTCACCCTTAATTATAGTTACAGAATGCAGAAATATGTAAATATTGTTTAGCAAAATTACACATACAAATTTGTCAAGCCAACATCTGTATGGAGCACCGGTGAATTGTGCTGGCCATATAGATTACAATTTGATTGTACAATGTTTTTATAGATCAGGTCACATCTGGCACGTCTGATGGTATAAAAATTGAGTGGGTTGTTTGCATATTGATCCCTAATATTACATAGATTTGGTAATGCTAAAAATAATTGTATAAAGATTGCATAATTAAATTGTAAGACGTATGGTCAACTGTCCTTATAGGTAGCTGCACAAACTCTCTGATTGCTTCAGCCTCTCCAAAACTTATAATATCTGATCCGTCACTTGACTTTTTTTTTGGTCTTCATAATGATCTCCTGTACAGTACAATCCTTCTATTTTATGGAGCGTAGATACAATATTAAATATATATTACATAAAATATCATCTAGCCATAGAGTGAACCTGGCAATTCTGTCTTTATGGGTATCTGCCTTTAGTAAATCAACCCAGGCATCTAAATTACACAAACATATGTTATATTATTCTGACACCTCTTCCGAGATACTGTATGCATTTATAT